TCAATATGAGTCAAACCTTGCTGGCCATTACAATGTACTTTTGCTCTTTTGTTTTGCAGCAGTGTTGCTGGCATGTTTTGCACGCCCACGCTTGACAAGTGGTGAGCAGGTCGACAGCGGTTTAACTCATAGGCGTAGGCTGTGGCGGGCCATCTCTGCACTTTGGACAGACCTCTGAGCTGTTTACTCACTACAGGCCTGCCTTCCCTGCCTGTGTGGGTAGCCACAAGATGCACAGCTATGTTAAGGCGGTGAGAGACTTTGACAAACAAGCTAATTTTAGCAGACCTGTTAACTTGAGAGTTGTATGGCCAGCTTCAAGGACATAGAATAAAGCTTGGAGTGAGCCTTGCTCTCACTTAGTAAATCTCTAACTTTTACCCTCAACAAGTCCTGATCTAATGTAAGTCTAATGTTTTTTCTTGAAGGCATACTTTTACAGACAGTTAGTCAAAGTTCTCTAGGAGTACATCTAAAACCTGTTGTTAATGTAGTGTCCAATGCAAACATATGAAAAACTGGTCATGAGGTACCTATACCTACCAGTTTGTTGATGTATATGACATTGTCATGACATGTCTTACATTCAAGATGCTTTTCAACTGATATCTGCAGCGTGCTTGGCCTACGTGTGGAAACATTTATACAGGGAGGCTGCTACAGGAGCGCTGAACACTGAAAAGCCCAGCCCCACTTAGCTTCAGCTGCTTAGCCAGGATGACATGTCTGCTGAGGCAGTGTGATTGGGTTAATGAGTAACTCTCTGAGATTCACCACCTTATTGAGACCTATTTTCAGACAGAGCTGTTTCTATGACTTACCGGATGTAGAGACAGGCTCCCTGTACAGCAACACTCTGTTCCAAAGTGCCAGTCCTTAGTGTGTCCAAAATGCACCCTATTCCCTACTGTATAGTGTGCACTACTTTTGACAAGGGCCATAGGGCTCCGGTCAAAAGTAGAGCACTATATACAGTGGGGGAAAAAAAGTATTTAGTCAGCCACCAATTGTGCAAGTTCTCCCACTTAAAAAGATGAGAGAGGCCTGTAATTTTCATCATAGGTACACGTCAACTATGACAGACAAAATGAGGAAAAAAAATCCAGAAAATCACATTGCAGGATTTTTAATGAATTTATTTCCAAATTATGGTGGAAAATAAGTATTTGGTCAATAACAAAAGTTTCTCAATACTTTGTTATATACCCTTTGTTGGCAATGACACAGGTCAAATGTTTTCTGTAAGTCTTCACAAGGTTTTCACACACTGTTGCTGGTATTTTGGCCCATTCCTCCATGCAGATCTCCTCTAGAGGAGTGATGTTTTGGGGCTGTCGCTGGGCAACACGGACTTTCAACTCCCTCCAAAGACGTTCTATGGGGTTGAGATCTGGAGACTGGCTAGGCCACTCCAGGACCTTGAAATGCTTCTTACGAAGCCACTCCTTCGTTGCCCGTGCGGTGTGTTTGGGATCATTGTCATGCTGAAAGACCCAGCCACGTTTCATCTTCAATGCCCTTGCTGATGGAAGGAGGTTTTCACTCAAAATCTCACGATACATGGCCCCATTCATTCTTTCCTTTACACGGATCAGTCGTCCTGGTCCCTTTGCAGAAAACAGCCCCAAAGCATGATGTTTCCACCCCCATGCTTCACAGTAGGTATGGTGTTCTTTGGATGCAACTCAGCATTCTTTGTCCTCCAAACACGACGAGTTGAGTTTTTACCAAAAAGTTCTATTTTGGTTTCATCTGACCATATAACATTCTCCCAATCCTCTTCTGGATCATCCAAATGCACTCTAGCAAACTTCAGACGGGCCTGGACATGTACTGGCTTAAGCAGGGGGACACGTCTCGCACTGCAGGATTTCAGTCCCTGGCGGTGTAGTGTGTTACTGATGGTAGGCTTTGTTACTTTGGTCCCAGCTCTCTGCAGGTCATTCACTAGGTCCCCCCGTGTGGTTCTGGGATTTTTGCTCACCGTTCTTGTGATCATTTTGACCCCACGGGGTGAGATCTTGCGTGGAGCCCCAGATTGAGGGAGATTATCAGTGGTCTTGTATGTCTTCTATTTCCTAATAATTGCTCCCACAGTTGATTTCTTCAAACCAAGCTGCTTACCTATTGCAGATTCAGTCTTCCCAGCCTGGTGCAGGTCTACAATTTTGTTTCTGGTGTCCTTTGACAGCTCTTTGGTCTTGGCCATAGTGGAGTTTGGAGTGTGACTGTTTGAGGTTGTGGACAGGTGTCTTTTATACTGATAACAAGTTCAAACAGGTGCCATTAATACAGGTAACGAGTGGAGGACAGAGGAGCCTCTTAAAGAAGAAGTTACAGGTCTGTGAGAGCCAGAATCTTGCTTGTTTGTAGGTGACCAAATACTTATTTTCCACCATAATTTGCAAATAAATTCATTAAAAATCCTACAATGTGATTTTCTGGAATTTCTTTTCTCAATTTGTCTGTCATAGTTGACGTGTACCTATGATGAAAATTACAGGCCTCTCTCATCTTTTTAAGTGGGAGAACTTGCACAATTGGTGGCTGACTAAATACTTTTTTCCCCCACTGTAGGTAATAGGGTGCCATTTAAGACGTTTGTTTTTAAATGGGCTAAAAGCACACTGGCAGAGGAAGTAACTGGTTAGACACATTCAAATGACCCCATAGTCTGTTTACAAAATGAGTGTCTTGAGCAAAGCCTACATTATTAACACCATCTCTTCAATTATTATTGGATAGTCTTATAACATATGGGATTTTTTATGTCTTCAATTATTTCTGGATTATGGTTCATCTTCACGTTGAAAATATTGAAGCACAGAGAGCAGAGGCTTTCTAGATGATCATGATGATGATGGTGAAGATATTGATGATGATGAATTAACAGAATATGCTGTGAATGAGAACGTCATTTTCTGAAATCAAGTCATTATTGGGGAGGGGAAGGGAAGGGAAGGGAAGGGAAGGGAAGGGAAGGGAAGGGAAGGGAAGGGGGGGGGCATTTCGTCTTTTTTTCAGCCAACCTAAATCCAATGACATGGTGACATTTGTTGTTGAATTCACGGTTAGTTGACAACTCAACCAAATGTAAATCAAAACTACTCGGTGAACTGACCCAGTGGGTGGACTTGAATGTCTTTGTTGAGCCCCAATAAATCCCCCAATAAGTCTTGCTGCTACTCTAAAGAATATGTAAATCATATGCAGTTGTGTTATGCCTCATGCAAACACACAAGTACAGTCAACATTATGTGATGCTCTCAACAATATTTAAATCCAGCAAAGGATATACAATGGCACATAATTGTTGTTTGTTAGCTGGGCTCAAACTCATGTGAGAATGTGATGGTCTCCTTGATATTTTCAACCCAGAATGCACTTGGTGTGAGAGCGAGTCTGTTACAGCAAGAGTAGCCTCTGTAGAATTCACACCTCTAACACCAAAACCACACTGATGCTCAAGTTTCCAGGCGTCATTGTTTGTCTCTGGACTTGTTTCGTGTTTGTTGGTTTCATTGCGGATGGCTAAAAGACTGCAGTGGAAAATGTCACAGCCCTCTCGTTCTGGAAGCCCTCCCTCCTTATTCAACCCAAACACAGATGAAACCTCTTGGTCTTATTCCCCTGAATGTGACCCCCTCACCATGTTTGTCATATCCACTGATGTAGCTACTTCTCCCCATTATGAATAAGAACTTCACTATCAAGTTTCACTACTTTAGACTATAACTCTATACGCTTGCTGTTATTCTCAAACAAAATGATATATTTGACTACAAGGTATTGGCTAAATAGTGAGTTTCAGGGACATGTGAAAGCGCCCTTAGAATCCAGTATGGGTTTTTACTCATTGATCAATTCTCTCCACTAGTCCACTCTACTGCTAGTTTTGACAATACTGAGTTCAGTATAGGCCAAAATAGTCATTAGATTTGCATGCACAAAGTGCAATATGCAAGAAGAATATGGTTAGCTGGATTCACTTGTACCTTTCTTTTCAAGTTTCAATTTATTTGAATTTTGAGGGGTCAAGTCTCTCACTACTTTTCCAGCTGCTTGCTAAAACAGAATGAAACGTTAGCTCATGTTAGTAAAGGTATATTTGATGATTTAATTGTTTAATAAGATACAACCGTAAAGGCTAACAAGATCAATTAAATTGGTTGCATAAACCATGACCAACAGACTACAGCGATTTAGCAGTATGAATAGATTACAACTGAGAGGGAACATCAACATGGTTCATAATTGTAAGCATCACCACATTGACCTAAGGTCAGACTGTGAGACTGGTAAGATAATTATGTCCTGAACTAGTGAAACAGCGCCATCTGGTGAAGGTCTACGGGAGCACCATCATGTAAAATGTTCCTCACTGATGCTATATCAATTGTAATGTCAGTGACAGAAATGAGACCATGGTCATGTTACACCACTCTGTTATGTCTTACATTGTAACATGTGCTTTGTATCGTTCCTTACTCCTTGAATAACTACAAAAACACATCTACTGTCAAGATCAAGTTTCACTACTTTAGACAAATAACAGCTGTTATCATGACAGTGAGCAGCTACATATTGTACACGTTCTCGTTTTAGCCATTTCTCATGGACTTGCACACTTTTCCCTTTGGTACTATCAAATTATCAACACTGTACAGTGCAGTATCAATGATTTGCCACTGTGAACACACCCACCAAACGTTTGATCCAAGGGTGTGTAGTTCCTCATGTCCTTAGAATGGAGCAAGGTAAATATTAACAAAAGCAATCAAACCATAAACATGTGAAGTGCTTGAGTTCTTTGAAGATAAATTCCCCTTGCACCACACCCTGTCTGTCAACTCCTGCAGCAAACACTGTATACCGCAGCCAGTGCCGAATCACATCCCATTTCTGTAGTGTTGCCCTCCCATTCTGCTTCACAACACGAGGACACCAGAGAAGAAGCTATTCGGTTAGCTAGAACAGAGAGTTGTACAAACAACACCAACATGACAATTCAATGGTGGGGCCTTCTACTTGACCTGTGGTTTCTTTTGGCCTGCCTACCATTTCACATCTCAGCTTTCAACCTGGACACGGACACAAAGCATGTTCTGAGGAAAAATGGTGATCCGGGAAGCCTGTTTGGATTCTCCCTGGCACTGCACCAACAACTGAATCCTGTCAATAAGAAACTGTGAGTTGACCTCTTATAAGAAACTGTTAACAGTGTCCCATACATACTATTATCTGACCCTGCTGGACCTGGTCATATATGAACTTATTCTTTTGTCCTCTATCCTGTCTGATTACACACACTATGAACTGAGAAACAAGCTGGCCTTAATGGCTACTCTTAGTCTCTACCTGGTACAGCCAGAAGAGGATGGGCCACCCCTCTGAGCATGGTTCCTCTCTAGGTTTATTCCTCTGTTCCTTCCTTCTAGGGAGTTTTTCCTGGCCTCTCTGTTTTGACGTCTGCTTTGCTTGCTCTTTGGGGTCAAGGCCGGATAACTGTAAAGCACTTCGTGAAAAGTTTTTTTTTGTTTTTTATAGTGATTGATTGATTGATACAACTCAGACCAGCAGTGACAATGTTGTTTTTAGTTTGAATATTTTAGTGTACGGCTGCATGTGAATTTTAAATCAATGTATGACATTCTGGTTTATTTTTCCTAGATTGCTGGTTGGAGCGCCACGTGCCAAGTCATTGACCAAAGCTGATGTTACTGGAGGCATCTACCAGTGTGAGCTCACCACTGATTCTAAGAGCTGTGAGCGTGTAAAGCTTGACAACGATGGTTTGTTTGTTTCCATTCAGGTGTAATAGATTTTTGTGTTCGTGTGTTATGAAAATATGTGTGATTTTGTTAATGTGTATTTAACATTAATGTGCATGAATGCTAACTTTTGTGTTTGAAAATGAATGTTCCCCAGAGTTTCTTAAAAGCTATGATGTCAAAGACCAGTGGATGGGTGTACGAGTGACAAGCCAAGGCCCTGGTCAAAGCGTTATGGTATGGTAAATATTGTGTACTTTAATCTTTGAATTGCCATTTGTTGACTATAATAAACTTAGTCAGACATTATATTGTATTGTGTTTTGTTTTTAATTCAAGGAATTTAATTGACTCGGACAGGGCAACATTTCAGGGTTTCAGTGAAGTTAACCCCTTTGTTTATTACTTACGTCTGAGAGAAATTCTATCATTCTACCCCCCACAGACCTGCGCACATCGATACCAGGAGTGGAGCACCAATCCTGACACCCCTAACCTCGTATTCGGTCAGTGCTACATCCTGGGGGAGGACCTGCACAAGAGTGATGCCCATAGAATCTGGAGGAGGGTGATCTGCGATGACAGAAAACACATCAAGGATAAGCCAAAGAATCCTGATTGGTTCGGATACTGTCAACAGGGTCATTCTGCCGCCTTTGCCAAGGACAACACATCTCTGTTGTTTGGGGGCCCCGGAGCTTACCAGTGGAAAGGTACAGTCGTGGTCAAAAGTTTTGAGAATGACACAATTATTGGTCTTCACAAAGTTCGCTGCTTCAGTGTTATGAGATGTTTTTGTCAGATGTTACTATGGTGTACTGAAGTATAATTACAAGCATTCCATAAGTGTCAAAGGCTTTTATTGACAATTACATTAAGTTTATGCAAAGAGTCAATAATTGCAGTATTGACCCTTCTTTTTCAAGACCTCTGCAATCTGCCCTGGCATGCTGTCAATTAACTTCTGGGCCACATCCTGACTGATGGCAGCCCATTCTTGCATAATCAATGCTTGGAGTTTGTCAGAATTTGTGGGTTTTTGTTTGTCCGCCCGCCTCTTGAGGATCGACCACAAGTTCTCAATGGGATTAAGGTCTGGGGAGTTTCCTGGCCATGGACCCAAAATGTCGATGTTTTGCTCCCCGAGCCATTTAGTTATCACTTTTGCCTTATGGCAAGGTGCTCCATCATGCTGGAAAAGGCATTGGTCGTCACCAAACTGTTATTGGATGGTTGGGAGAAGTTGCTCTCGGAGGATGTGTTGGTACCATTCTTTATTCATGGCTGTGTTCTTAGACAAAAGTGTGAGTGAGCCCACTCCCTTGGCTGAGAAGCAACCCCACACATGAATGGTCTCAGGATGCTTTACTGTTGGCATGACACAGGACTGATGGTAGCGCTCACCTTGTCTTCTCCGGACAAGATGTTTTCCGGATGCCCCAAACAATCGGAAAGGGGATTCATCAGAGAAAATGACTTTACCCCAGTCCCTGATGTTTTTCCTGGAGAGAAGTGGCTTCTTTGCTGCCCTTCTTAACACCAGGCCATTTTCCAAAAGTCTTCACCTCACTGTGCGTGCAGATGCACTCACACCTGCCTGCTACAATTCCAGAGCAAGTTCTGCACTGGTGGTGCCCCGATCCCGCAGCTGAATCAACTTTAGGAGACGGTCCTGGCGCTTGCTGGACTTTCTTGGGCGCCCTGACGCCTTCTTCTCAACAATTGAACCTCTCTCCTTGAAGTTCTTGATTATCCGATAAATGGTTAATTTAGGTGCAATCTTACTAGCAGCAATATCCTTGCCTGTGAAGCCCTTTTTGTGCAAAGCAATGATGATGGCATATGTTTCCTTGCAGGTAACCATGGTTAACAGAGGAAGAACAATGATTTCAAGCACCAACCTCCTTTTAAAGCTTCCAGTCTGTTATTCTAACTCAATCAGCATGACAGAGTGATCTCCAGCCTTGTCCTCGTCAACACTCTCACCTGTGTTAATGAGAGAATCACTGACATGATGGCAGCTGGTCCTTTTGTGGCAGGGCTGAAATGTTTTTTGGGGATTAAGTTCATTTTCATGGCAAATAGGGACTTTGCATTTAATTGCAATTCATCTGATCACTCTTCATGACATTCTGGAGTATATGCAAATTGCCATCATCAAAACTGAGTCAGCAGACTTTGTGAAAATTAGTATTTGTGTCATTCTCAAAACTTTTGACCACGACTGTACATGTTTTGAGTTGGGAGATACTTTTAAAATGGGTTTAATCTTGTTAATGGAACAATATGATTCACTGTATAATGATATGTATCTGATATGTATGAGACATGGTATTCATATACTGTATGTTTGGGACATTCAAACACACTTGCAGTCAGTACACACTGCATTGATATTGGAATGAGCTGTCGATGTCCATGAAACTGAGATCAGACCTAGTTTTGTCTTGAAAAGCCCAGACAGGTTGAAACATTTAGCTGATCTGTATTTTCTATTTGCAATTTATGGATTCCATCTTTTCATTTATTCCTCAGATTTATGCCTGTTTGAGCCTGGTGTCCACAGCATTTAATTCAAATGAATTCAAAACAACTTCATTTATTCCCAAGGGTCAATTATTCACATAATTCTCTTGTCCATCTGCCTGTCACAGGAATCGTGAGAATGGAGTCCCTAGACAACCTTGAAGTGTCAAATGAAGAGCCCCGTGAAACTGGGGATGTGGACAGACTTGACCGTGACCTCATCCCTCTCCTTAACAACAGTTATCTAGGTCAGTTTAATGGATAGAGCTTTCTTCAACCTCTATTCAATCCATTCAATCACACTGAAAGGAAAACACAGAGGGGCTTGGTTTTGTGGCAAATTTCATCAATACTCTTGGTGGGTTTTTTATACTGTTGGTGTAAGTAAAATTGTAAAGAATGGCATGTTTCGTATTGATTCATACTATTTATTTACACTATTTATGAATTACATCTCTCTTTCCCATAGACAATTTACATTTTAGTCACTTAGCAGATGCTCTTATCCAGAGCGACTTACAGTAGTGAGTGCGTCCATTTTCATACTGGGAATCAAACCCACAACCCTGGCGTTGCAAGCACCATGCTCTACCAACTGAGCAAAACGGGACCCCCTGTTCATCATGGTAGCATTGCAGTTTCTAACATTGAGTAATTGCTGTCTTTTTTCCAGGGTTCTCCATCGACTCTGGAATGGCCCTCACCAAGAAGGGCCAGCTGACTATAGTGTCTGGGGCACCACGAAGCGGTTTCAGTGGGGAGGTGGCGTTTCTGAAGAGAGACCCATTGGCTAAAAGAAGTCTATCTGTGGAGAACATTCTTAAAGGCCCAGGCCTGGCCTCCTCCTTTGGCTACGACATAGCCGTGGTGGACCTCAACGCTGATGGGTACAGATTTCAGCCAGTAGCTTTGTCACAATTATCTCCCCTTCCTCCCAAAGTGTGCATTGTTCACTTCCTTTCAATGATTTGAAAGGAAATTACTGGTATAAGAAATATGGTGGAAATTCTCACTAGCTCGTGCCTCCACATAGTTCTGAAAGTAGCGCTCAAGAGCCAAAAGTGGTCCCTGAAAATTGCCTACTAAGTCACATATCTGCAATTATGTGTACCACATCATTGCTCTCTCTCTCACTCTGCTGTGTATGCATCTTGCTAGCTGTCACTCAAATGGTGAGGGGCTGAAGCTCAATGGCTAGAACTCGAATTGCTAGGGGGCTGGCCCATGTGGGGGAAAATGTAGAGAAAATGGCGCAGCACAGCTTCCAGAAAAACAGTCGCTTTCAAACTAGGGATTTTGTGGTTAATTGAGGTGACAGTAATTCTGCTCATATATTATGCATGTATGAACTACATATTGACACATCCAGCCCAAAGCAAGAGGTTTAAAAAAATACTTAATAGTCACCAAAGTTCCGGAATATGTCTTTAAGATTTGTGGGAGCAAGTGAATAAGTGCACATTTTAGAAGAAAATGTTTTGAGTCAATAAGTATTCAACCACTTTGTTATACATTTTCTTAACAAGTCACATAATACGTTGCATGGACTCACTCTGTGTGCAATAATCGTGTTTAACATGATTTTCAAATGACTACCTAAATAACCCCACACATACAATTATCTCTAAGGTCCCTCAGTCGAGCAGTGAATTTCAAACACAGATTCAACCACAAAGATCAGGGAGGTTTTCTAATGGCTCACAAAGAAGGGCACCTATTGGTAAAAAAACAGACATTGAATAGCCCTTTGAGCATAGTGAAGTTATTAATTACACTTTGGATGGTGTATCAATACACCCAGTCACTACAAAGACACAGGCGTCCTTCCTAACTCAGTTGCCGGAGAAGAATGAAACCGCTAAGGGATTTCACCATGAGGCCAATGGTGACTTTAAAACAGTTACAGAGTTTAATGGCTGTGATAGGAGAAAACTGAGGATGGATCAACAACATTGTAGTTACTCCACAACAGGGATGTAGCTCAGTTGGTAGAGCATGGTGTTTGCAACGCCAGGGTTGTGGGTTCGATTCCCACGAGGGAATCGAACCCACAAAAATAAAAAATTATAATGTATGCACTCACTAATTGTAAGTCGCTCTGGATAAGAGCGTCTGCTAAATGACAAAAATGTAAATGTAATACGAACCTAAATGACAGAGTGAAAAGAAGGAAGCCTGTACAGCAAGGTATCCCCCAAGTTCTCTGTTTTTTATATATATAAGATTGATACCATTTTCTTTTTTTTGACATAATAGACTGTAAAAACACCAGGAAATCAGCTCCAAGTGATTTTAGTTTAAGAAATATGTTCCCAAGTATAATTGAGAGACGTGATCAAGCAAGGTTTGAAATGATTATGTTTCAGTCAAACATTATCTGTTTGGTCTTCTTGCGGTCAATTTGCGGTCTACAAATTATTTGTAATTATGTTTACATTTTAGTAATTTAGAAGACTCTCTTATCCAGAGCGACTTACATGAGCAATTAAGGTTAAGTGCCTTGCTCAAGCGCACATCCTAGTTGGCTTGGGGATTCAAACCAGTGACCTTTCGATTACTGGTCCAACACTCTTAATCACTAGGCTACCCTGCCTGTTCTGGCCCCTCGACCACCTGTCAAGAAAAAATTGGCCCGCGGCGGAATGTAGTTGATGATCCCTGCTGTAGAGAATAAAAATATTCCAAAACATGCATCCTGTTTGCAACAAGGCACTAAAGTAAAACTGCAAAAAGAAGACTTAACTTTATGTCCTGAATACAAAGTCTTATGTTTGGGGCAAATCCAATACAACACATCACTGAGTACCACTCTTCATATTTTCAAGCATGGTGGTGGCTGCATCATGTTATGGGTATGCTTGTCATCGGCAATGACTAGTGAGTTTTTTTAGGATAAAAAGAAACAGAATAGAGCTAAGCATAGGCAAAATCCAAGAGGAAAACCTGGTTCAGTCTGCTTTCCAACAGACACTGGGAGACAAATGCACCTTTCAGCAGGACAATAACCTAAAACACAAGGCCAAATATACACTGAAGTTGCTTACCAAGACGACATTGTAAGTTCTTGAGTTGCCTAGTTACAGTTTTGACGTGAATCGGCTTGAAAATCTATGGAAAGACATGAAAATGGCTGTCTAGCAATGATCATCAACAACTTGACAGAGCTTGAATAATTGTTTTAAGGATGTGCAAATATTGTAACGTTTGTGCAAAGCTCTTAGAGACTTACCCAGAAAGACTCACAGTTTTAATTCCTGCCAAAGGTGCTTCTACAAAGTATTGACTCAGGGTTGTGAATACTTATGTAAATTAGATATTTCTGTATTTCATTTTCAATAAATTTGCTAAACAAAAATGGAGTATTGTGTGTAGATGGGTGAGAAAATATATATTTAATCAATTTTGAATTCATGCTGTAACTAAGCAAAATATGGAATAAGTCAAGGGGTATGAAAACTTTCTGAAGGCACTGTAATTGTTCCCCAGAAATGATTTGATATTGACATAAAAACATCTGTAGTGTGTACTGTTTGTAATTCTGTTGGTGGGGTATTTGGGGGATTGCAGGTGGGACGACCTTGCTGTGGGGGCACCCGAGTTCTTCTTAAAAGAAGGGGTGGTCGGAGGGGCAGTGTACATCTACATCAACAACAGGGGAAGACAGTGGGAGAAGATTGAGCCTGTCCGTCTGGATGGGAACAAAGACTCCATGTTTGGTCTGGCAGTTGAGAACATTGGAGACGTCAATCAGGACGGTTATGAAGGTTGGCTGAGGTTTCTTCATTACTTTCAGGGGAGTTAACTGCAATGAATGGAAATGTATGCACTCACTAACTGTAAGTCGCTCTGGATAAGAGTGTCTGCTAAATAACTAAAATGTCAAATGTAATGAAGTAGATCCTTTTAGCACATCTCCATTTCTTTCCTGTAGTTTGTTCTGAAACCTTTCTCTCAGCTTTGGTTACATCTTAGCGACCCATCTCCCTCATAAATTCAGACCGTAACCTCATTTTCAACTTGACAGATATTGCTGTGGGGGCTCCCTATGATGGTGTAGGTCGAGTGTACCTTTACTATGGCTCCTCAGGTGGAATCCACGAAAAGACAGCACAGGTGGGAGCCTTTACATTAAACTGGAACACCTGCATCTGAGTGATGACCACTGTAATCCCGCAATAAAGTTTGAAGAATATTGAACACAAACTACATTTTGTCACAAACAGTATCTCTTGTTATTATAGATTATAACAGCAGAATCTTATAATATAAGACGATTTGGATTTTCTCTGACTGGAAAGATAGATGTGGATGACAATCATTACCCTGACTTGGCTGTTGGATCACTCTCAGACTCCATATTTGTCTACAGGTAACTTTGACTTGATTACATCATATCACTTGATTACATCATATCACTTGATTACATCATATAACTTGATTACATCATATCACTTGATTACATCATATCAGCGTTCCTCAATCTTAGTCCTGAGGGAACACACTGGATTTATAGGATATCCTTTTGTTCCAACACACCTGATTCAAGTATTTTCTACTAATCATCAAGGCCATGATTACAGCAGTTTCAGTAGTTTCACCTGTATTAGTACTGGGCTGTAACAAAAGCCTTCACACCCTGTGGTTTCCCAGGACCAGGATTAATAGACGTTGCCTTAGAACTTTCATGTCATCATGTCCACTGGTCATTTTGATTTACTTAGATTTGCTTACAGGGCAAGGCCAGTAGTCAAAATCAGAGAGGACTTACGAATCACCCCAAGTACTATCAACATGGCGACAGAGCACTGTGACAAACACAAATGGTAAGACTTTCAAGAAACAACATATAAACAAATCAATAAACTGCCGTAATGAAACCCAACATAATTTTGTCTACATTTGCATAGTACTTTCACGGCACGGGCATGCTTTACCTACACAACGCAGCCGCCATCCTACAACCCCAGACTGAGTAAGTTCACTAGCTTCAGCCCCCTAAACAACCATGCCCTTGTACTGCTGAGATTGAGGCGGTCCTAATTTGGACACCGTACCCTTGACCCTTTGTGTACACTGTGCTGCAGAAACTTATGCGATGCATTCTCTTCCTATAGCTGTCAACTACACCTTTGAGGCTGACGCTGAGACGAGGAAACAGAGGCGTACCTCCAGGATGCAGTTCCTGGGTCAGTCCCAGGGCGTCCTGGAGCTACCAGGGCAGGGCAAAGAGAAATGCACTGAGACTCAACTCAAGCTATTGGTAATGGCTCTGAATTTTTCCATCTCGTGAAGATGTCACAACTGTAGTTTCAATTCAGTGGCTCATGAAGACATCAAAGTGTGTCATCTTCCAAATAGACTAGGGTCAGGGGTCAGCCATGGGTCATAAGACAACAACAAACTTTGTTTGTATCGCCACTATTTCCTCGATCACGAAAAGGCCAACTTCAAATACTATTTGGCGTTGACATTGATTTTGTTTGGTAAGATATTTGATCATCACCTTTACATGACGTTCTACATCTCCATCTGTTCAAGGGTGATATCAAGGACAGACTGCACAGCATCCCCATCTCTGTCTCGGTGTCCTTACTGAATGCCAGTAAGACTAAGAGCAAGAGTCCCCTTCCTGAACTTACTCCAGTACTCAGCCTCTACAAGCAGAGTACAGCCACCTCAGAGGTACACGTGTGTGTGTGTGTGTGTCTGTCTGTCTGTGTGTGTGTGTGTGTGTGTGTGTGTGTGTGTGTGTGTGTGTGTGTGTGAGCGTGCGCGTGTGTGTGTGTGGAGATGTGTGAGAGAGGACGCGTGAGAGAGAGAAAGTATAAACCTAGTAGTTGTGAAACAGTTATTGTGAGTCTTAAGAACTAAATTCAACTTTTTCAGGTTATCTTCATAGATAAAGGTTGTGGGAGTGATAACATTTGCCAAAGTAACTTGGAGCTACAGTACAGGTTCTGTTCCAGACCAAAACTACAGGGACAAGATGTATTCACCCCACTGCCCAGGTAGAAACGAAATGTGTGATTTGAATTTTAACCAGAAGTCCCTCTTGACTGCCTTCAACTCATTGTGTATTCGGTTACATGAACCCTGTAATGCAGTGGTGGCTGGTGGGTAGATATATAGGAGGATGTGCTCATTGTAAAGGCTGGATTAGTGTGAATGGAAAGGTATCAAACAAATGGTTTCCATGTGTTTTATGTGTTTGATAGCTTTCCAGTCATTCCATTCCAGTCATTGCAATAAGAACGTCCTCCTATCTACGCCCACCAGCCTCCTCTGCTCTATATGGCTCTTGTCAATATAGTGCTTTGGTAACGCTAAGACTCATGTCTTTCTAGTGAAAGAGGTATTCCAGTGATCTCTGCTGGAGATGAGGACATAGTTTTGGAGGTCAATGTGACAAATAGGGAGGGTGATGATGCCCATCAGAGTCATCTGATCATCAAACTCCCTGACTCTCTTTCATACTCATCATTATACTTCAACTCCATTTCAGTAAGTCACTGGCCTTTGCTGTTCTCAGCATTTTTGATCAAATCATTGTATACTGGACTTAAGAGTTAAAATAATGTTAAATAGCAATGATTCTATTCAGGATACTATTAAATCCATGAAAATATGACCCCCATCTTCTTGATTTCTGATGTTAAACATCACCAATACCGTAATTGTTCCAGAGTAATGATAGGTACACTATATACAGTGGGGAGAACAAGTAGTTGATACACTGCCGATTTTGCAGGTTTTCCTACTTACAAAGCATGTAGAGGTCTGTAATTTTTATCATAGGTACACTTCAACTGTGAGAGACGGAATCTAAAACAAAAATCACATTGTATGATTTTTAAGTAATTAATTTGCATTTTATTGCATGACATAAGTATTTGATCACCTACCAACCAGTAAGAATTCCGGCTCTCACAGATCTGTTCGTTTTTCTTTAAGAAGCCCTCCTGTTTTCCACTCATTACCTGTATTAACTGCACCTGTTTGAACTTGTTACCTGTATAAAAGACACCTGTCCACACACTCAATCAAACAGACTCCAACCTCTCCACAATGGCCAAGACCAGAGAGCTGTGTAAGGACATCAGTGATAAAATTGTAGACCTGCACAAGGCTGGGATGGGCTACAGGAAATAGGCAAGCAGCTTGGTGAGAAGGCAACAACTGTTGGCGCAATTATTAGAAAATGGAAGAAGTTCAAGATGACGGTCAATCACCCTCGGTCTGGGGCTCCATGCAAGATCTCACGTCGTGGGGCATCAATGATCATGAGGAAGGTGAGGGATCAGCCAAGAACTACACGGCAGGACCTGGTCAATGACCTGAAGAGAGCTGGGACCACAGTCTCAAAGAAAACCATTAGTAACACACTACGCCGTCATGGATTAAAATCCTGCAGCACATGCAAGGTCCCCCTGCTCAAGCCAGCGCATGCCCAGGCCCGTCTGAAGTTTGCCAATGACCATCTGGATGATCCAGAGGAGGAATGGGAAAAGGTAATGTGGTCTGATGAGCCAAAAATAGAGCTTTTTGGTCTAGACGCCACTCGCCGTGTTTGGAGGAAGAAGAAGGATGAGTACAACCCCAAGAACACCATCCCAACCGTGAAGCATGGAGGTGGAAACATTCTTTGGGGGATGCTTTTCTGCAAAGGGGACAGGACGACTGCACCGTATTGAGGGGAGGATGGATGGGGCCATGTATCGCGAGATCTTGGCCAACAACCTCCTTCACTCAATAAGAGCATTGAAGAGTCGTGGCTGGGTCTTCCAGCATGACAACGACCCGAAACACACAGCCAGGGCAACTAAGGAGTGGCTCTGTAAGAAGCATCTCAAGGTCCTGGAGTGGCCTAGCCAGTCTCCAGACCTGAACCCAATAGAAAATCTTTGGAGGGAGCTGAAAGTCTGTATTGCCCAGCGACAGCCCCGAAACCTGAAGGATCTGGAGAAGGTCTGTATGAAGGAGTGGGCCAAAATCCCTGCTGCAGTGTGTGCAAACCTGGTCAAGACCTACAGGAAACGTATGATCTCTGTAATTGCAAACAAAGGTTTTTGTACCAAATATTAAGTTCTGCTTTTCTGATGTATCAAATACTTATGCCGTGCAATAAAATGAAAATTAATTACTTAAAAATCATACAATGTGATTTTCTGGATTTTTGTTTTAGATTCCATCTCTCACAGTTGAAGTGTACCTATGATACAAATTACAGACCTCTACATGCTTTGTAAGTAGGAAAACCTGCAAAATCGGCAGTGTATCAAATACTTGCTCTCCCCCTTCAGATTAGTGGTTTTGGCTATTTCAGCCACACCGATTGCTGACAGGTCCAATTTCTGCCCTGCTAGAACTGTCCTGGTCAACTGTAAGTGCTGTTATTGTGAAGTGGAAACGTCTAGGAGCAACAACGGCTCAGCCGTGAAGTGATAGGCCACACGAGCTCACAGAACGGGATCAGCATGTGCTGAAGCGCGCAGCTCGTAAAAATCATCTGTCATCGGTTGCAACACTCACTACTGAGTTCAAAACTGCATTTGGAAGCATTGTCAGCACAATAACTGTTTGTCGGAAGCTTCATGAAATGGGCTTCCATGGCCGAACAGCCGCACACAAGCCTAAGATCACCATGCGCAATGCCAAGGATCGGCTGGAGGGGTGTAAAGCTTGCCGCCATTGGACTCTGGAGCAGTGGAAACGTGTTCTCTGGAGTGATGAATCACACTTCACCATCTGGCGGTTCGATGGACGAATCTGGGTTTGGCGGATGCCAGGAGAACACTACCTGCCTCAAAGCAGTTTGTTGGAGGAGGAATAATGGTCTGGGGCTGTTTTTCATGGTTCGGTCTAGGCCCCTTAGTTCCAATGAAGGGAAATCTTAACGCTACAGCATACAATGACATTCTAGACGATTCTGTGCTTCCAACTTCGTGGCAACAGTTTGGGGAAGGCCCTTTCCTGTTTCAGCATGACAATGCCCCCATGCACAAAGCATACAGAAAAATGGTTTGTCGAGATCAGTGTGGAAGAACTTGACTGGCCTGCACAGAGCCCTGACCTCAACCCCATCGAACACCTTTGGGATGAATTGGAACGCTGACCGCGAGCCAGGCCTAATCGTCTAACATCAGTGCCCGACCTCACTAATGCTCTTCTGGCTGAATGGAAGCAAGTCCCCGAAGCAATGTTCCAACATCTAGTGGAAAGCCTTCCCAGATGAGTGGCAGCAAAGGGGGGACCAACTCCATATTAATGCCATTGATATTGGAATGAGATGTTCGACAAGCAGGTGTCCACATACTTTTGGTCATGTAGTGTATATTTTTACATCACTGCTTATAGTTTCATTAAATTATCAGCTGCTGTCATATGTTTTTAAAAGTCTGGCTCATTGGACATGTTGACCCTACAGGAAGTAATAGTGAAGTGTAACCCCAATGACAATGGTACACTGACAGACTGTGAACTGGGAAACCCATTCAAAAGAGATGCTGAAGTGAGTAGTCCATTGTGTATGTCTAAGACATTTCTTTTTTTATGATAACACATTTGAACAGTTGTCCATAGTAAGTAAGAGACATTTGTGTCCCTTAGGTTACTTTCTATGTAATACTGTCCACTTCACGCATCTCGCTGAGCACAACTGATGTAAATGTTACCTTGCAGCTTGAAACGTAAGTATAACAGTACACATATCTTTTGTTAGAGGACCCATTAGCTCTGGGTAATAAATGTAACATTTCAGTCCGTCTCTTTCGTATGTTCTACACCGTTCACAAACAGATTATTCTAACAGAGTAGTCTCTTGGTTGCAGGACAAGCGTGCAGAAGATACAAGCAAGGGAAGCAAATGCCAAAGTAGTTTTTGAGCTGCAACTACAAGTATTTGGGTGGGTGTATGGACATGGTATTTGTTCTGCTGTTGCCCTAATCCACTCTTTTAGCTAACATATTTGAAGAGCTCCTGTCCTGAAAATATAGTTTGTGTCCCAAATGGCAACCTATTCCCTATTTAGTGCACTATTTTTGACCAGAGCACTATGGGCCCTTGTCAAAAGTAGTGCCTTATATAGAGAATAGAGTGCCATTTGGGACGCAGCCTTAATAATGTGGTGACCGAATGAAGGTTTATGAGATGTGTTTGTCCTCAGACTGGCCAGGCCCTCCCAGGTCAGCTTTGGAGGAGCTGTAAAGGGAGAGAGCGCCATGAAATCAGAGGACGATATTGGAACCCTTGTGGAGTATGAATTCAGGGTGAGCTCATTGATTTGTGGTTCAAATATACATTCTATTGTTCCCTGGTGATTAGCGAAATTCCATGTGCCTTTGCACGCTGCTTTGCACTGGGCGTATAAAATGTTACCCCAAAATATATCTTTAAATACATATATTTGTCTATCTGTGTTGGTTACTAGAAAATAAGTGCTTAACTCCTTAAAACTTGAACAGATATGGAATTTGGGCAGGCCACTGAAATCCTTTGCCAATGCGTCGCTGAATATCTACTGGCCCAAGGAGAACGCGGTGGGTAAATGGTTGCTGTACCTGGTGCAGATCCACAGTGAAGGCATACAGAACAGTTCCTGCTCTCCGCTAAAGGAGATCAGCCCAGTCCAACATATCAAGGTAAATTCCACTGAATATAAATTCTGAGGTAATATCAATAGGTGACTGGATCTTGAGTGAATCTCTTTCAGAAGTGCCCTTTTTTGAGAGTGATATAAAAGTAACCAATGATTTATTTTATTTTTATTTTTTATTTAACCTTTATTTAACCAGGTAAGCCAGTTGAGAACAAGTTCTCATTTACAACTGTGACCTGGCCAAGATAAAGCAAAGCAGTGCGATAAAAACAACACAGAGTTACATATGGGGTAAACAAAACATAAAGTCAAAAATACAACAGAAAATATATATACAGTGTGTGCGAATGTAGTAAGTTATGGAGGTAAGGCAATAAATAGGCCATAGTGCAAAATAGTTACAATTTCATATTAACACTGGAATGATAGATGTGCAAAAGATGATGTGGAAATAGAGATACTGGGGTGCAAATTAGCAAAATAAATAACAATATGGGGATGAGGTAGCTGGGTGGGCTTATTTCAGAATGGCTGTGTACATGTGCAGTGATCGGTAAGCTGCTCTGACAACTGACGCTTAAGGTTAGTGAGGGAGATAAGAGTCTCCAGCTTCAGAGATTTTTGCAGTTCGTTCCAGTCATTGGCAGCAGAGAACTGGAAGGAATGGCGGCCAAAGGAGGTGTTGGCTTTGGGGATGACCAGTGAGATATACCTGCTGGAGCGCAGACTACGGGTGGGTGTTGCTATGGTGACCAGTGAGCTAAGATAAGACGGGGATTTGCCTACCAGTGATTTATAGATGACCTGGAGCCAGTGGGTTTGGCGACTAATATTTAGTGAGGGCCAGCCAACAAGAGCGTACAGGTCACAATGGTGGGTAGTATATGGGGCTTTGGTGACAAAACGGATGGCACTGTGATAGACAATGTCCAATTTGCTGAGTAGAGTGTTGGAGGCTATTTTGTAAATGACATCGCCGAAGTCAAGAATCGGTAAGATAGTCCGTTTTACGAGGGCATGTTTGGCAGCATGAGTGAAGGAGGCTTTGTTGCGAAATAGGAAGCCGATTCTAGATCTAACTTTTGATTGGATATGCTTAATGTGAGTCTGGAAGGAGAGTTTACAGTCTAACCAGACACCTAGGTATTTGTAGTTGTCCACATACTCTAGGTCAGACCCGCCGAGAGTAGTGATTCTAGTCGGGTGGGCGGGTGCAAGCAGCGTTCGGTTGAAGAGCATGCATTTAGTTTTACTAGTGTTTAAGAGCAGTTGGAGGCTACAGAAGGAGTGTTGTATGGCGTTGAAGCTCGTTTGGAGGTTTGTTAACACAGTGTCCAATGAAGGGCCAGATGTATACAAAATGGTGTCGTCCGCATAGAGGTGGATCCGAGCGTCACCAGCAGCAAGAGCGACATCATTGATATACACGGAGAAAAGAGTCGGCCCAAGAATTGAACCCTGTGGCACCCCCATAGAGACGGCCAGAGGTCCAGACAACAGGCCCTCCGATTTGACACATTGAACTCTATCTGAGAAGTATTTGGTGAACCAGGCGAGGCAGTCATTTGAGAAACCAAGGCTATTTAGTCTGCCAATAAGAATGTGGTGGTTGACAGAGTCGAAAGCCTTGGCCAGGGCGATGAAGACGGCTGCGCAGTACTGTCTTTTATCGATTGCGGTTATAATATCGTTTAGGACCTTGAGCGTGGCTGAGGTGCACCCATGACCAGCCCGGATTGCATAGCGGAGAAGGTACGGTGGGATTCGAAATGGTCGGTGAACTGTTTGTTAACTTGGCTTTCAAATACTTTCGAAAGGCAGGGCAGGATGGATATAGGTCTGTAACAGTTTGGATCTAGAGTGTCACCCCCTTTGAAGAGGGGGATGACCACGGCAGCTTTCCAATCTCTGGGGATCTCAGACATTACGAAAGAGAGGTTGAACAGGCTAGTAATAGGGGTTGCGACAATTTTGGCGGCTAATTTTAGAAAGAAAGGGTCCAGATTGTCTAGCCCAGCTGATTTGTAGGGGTCCAAATTTTTCAGCTCTTTCAGAACATCAGCTGTCTGAATTTGTGTGAAGGAGAAGTGGGGGGGGCATGGGCAAGTTGCAGCGGAGGGTGCAGAGCTGGTGGCCGGGGTAGTGGTAGCCAGGTGGAAAGCATGGCCAGCCGTAGCAAAATGCTTGTTGAAATTCTCGATTATTGTATATTTATCGGTGGTGACAGTGTTTCCTAGCCTCAGTGCAGTGGGCAGTTGGGAGGAGGTGCTCTTATTTTCCATGAACTTTACAGTGTCCCAAAACGTTTTGGGATTATCATTCACACAATTGACATAAGTTGCCTAGATGTAGTTAATGCATATCTTCCTAATTATCATATTTAACTCTAGGGCTCTCGTGATATTTCAAGAAGAAGACGAGATGCTCATCAGGAAGCGTTCTCATCTGAGGATGGATTCTCCTTCCTGTCAAAGAAAAGGAAATACAAAACTCTGGTAAGAAAAATTCATTTGAAGCAACCATTATGTGTTTAACCCACTAGAGTCGATTGACGCACCGGTGTGTCAATCTAAGTTACATAACAAAGACAATCCCCATCCAAATCCATCAATTTAAGAGATAGAGATATCTGTTTTTTTTGCATAGGATGCGTCTCGATCCACCGCATCTGCCAGTGTCACACTTCCACATCTGGGTTGAAAGGTGGCAAAGCTAGAGCGGTGTTTGTCAGACCATGAGACATCCCGAAAATCGGTATTCTCACAAAAATTTATGTAGCATCCGAACAGGTTTGACATACAAACTATTATGGAAAGGGGAGACTCTCACAAACATGATGGAGTTCTCCGTTTTGCTCTACGGCCAACACAAGTGTCACGGAACTCATCTAAAGGTAACCGGTACCGGTTTTTAAAAAACAAATTTAAGTTTGAAGGCATAGCCACGGGAAGTAGTGGTGCTGAGGGTGCTGCAGCACACCCTGAAAAATCTGAATAAATAAATAAATGAATAAATAAATAATATATATATAATTATAATTATTTTTATTTTTTTTACAAAGTAGTGCACTGGGTCTTTACTGGTCTTGTATTAGCGGACCAATATAGACATCTGTAGCTCTGTAGCATCTCCACTTTGGCAAAAAAAAAAGTACAGTGAGGGAAAAAAGTATTTGATCCCCTGCTGATTTTGTACATTTGCCCACTGACAAAGAAATGATCAGTCTATAATTTTAATGGTAGGTTTATTTGAACAGTGAGAGACAGAATAACAACAACAAAATCCAGAAAAACGCATGTCAAAAATGTTATAAATTGATTTGCATTTTAATGAGGGAAATAAGTATTTGACCCCTCTGCAAAACATGACTTAGTACTTGGTGGCAAAACCCTTGTTGGCAATCACAGAGGTCAGACGATTCTTGTAGTTGGCCACCAGGTTTGCACACATCTCAGGAGGGATTTTGTCCCACTCCTCTTTGCAGATCTTCTCCAAGTCATTAAGGTTTCGAGGCTGACGTTTGGCAACTCGAACCTTCAGCTCCCTCCACAGATTTTCTATGGGATTAAGGTCTGGAGACTGGCTAGGCCACTCCAGGATCTTAATGTGCTTCTTCTTGAGCCATTCCTTTGTTGCCTTGGCCGTGTGTTTTGGGTCATTGTCATGCTGGAATACCCATCCCCAACCCATTTTCAATGCCCTGGCTGAGGGAAGGAGGTTCTCACCCAAGATTTGACAGTACATGGCCCCGTCCATCGTCCCTTTGATGCGGTGAAGTTGTCCTGTCCCCTTAGCAGAAAAACACCCCCAAAGCATAATGTTTCCACCTCCATGTTTGACGGTGGGGATGGTGTTCTTGGGGTCATAGGCAGCATTCCTCCTCCTCCAAACACGGCGAGTTGAGTTGATGCCAAAGAGCTCGATTTTGGTCTCATCTGACCACAACACTTTCACCCAGTTCTCCTCTGAATCATTCAGATGTTCATTGGCAAACTTCAGACGGGCATGTATATGTGCTTTCTTGAGCAGGGGGACCTTGCGGGCGCTGCAGGATTTCAGTCCTTCACGGCGTAGTGTGTTACCAATTGTTTTCTTGGTGACTATGGTCCCAGCTGCCTTGAGATCATTGACAAGATCCTCCCGTGTCTTTCTGGGCTGATTCCTCACCGTTCTCATGATCATTGCAACTCCACAAGGTGAGATCTTGCATGGAGCCCCAGGCCGAGGGAGATTGACAGTTATTTTGTGTTTCTTCCGTTTGCGAATAATCGCACCAACTGTTGTCACCTTCTCACCAAGCTGCTTGGCGATGGTCTTGTAGCCCATTTCAGCCTTGTGTAGGTCTACAATCTTGTCCCTGACATCCTTGGAGAGCTCTTTGGTCTTGGCCATGGTGGAGAGTTTGGAATCTGATTGATTGATTGCTTCTGTGGACAGGTGTCTTTTATACAGGTAACAAGCTGAGATTAGGAGCACTCCCTTTAAGAGTGTGCTTCTAATCTCAGCTCGTTACCTGTATAGATAGTCTCCCGAGTGGCGCAGTGGTCTAAGGCACTGCATCGCAGTGCTAGCTGTGCCACTAGATCCTGGTTCGAATCCAGGCTCTGTCGTAGCCGGCCGCGACCGGGAGACCCATGGGGCGGCGCACAATTTGCCCAGCGTCATCCAGGGTAGGGGAGGGAATGGCCGGCAGGGATGTAGCTCAGTTGGTAGAGCATGGCGTTTGCAACGCCAGGGTTGTGGGTTCGATTCCCATGGGGGGCCAGTATGAAAAATAAAAATAAAAAATAATGTATGCACTCACTAACTGTAAGTCGCTCTGGATAAGAGCGTCTGCTAAATGACGTAAATGTAAATGTAAATGTATAAAAGACACCTGGGAGCCAGAAATCTTTCTGATTGAGAGGGGGTCAAATACTTATTTCCCTCATTATATAATAATAATAATATGCCATTTAGCAGACGCTTTTATCCAAAGCGACTTACAGTCATGCGTGCATACATTTTTTTTTTTGTGTGTATGGGTATCATGTATGGGTGTATGGGTTTGTGTGTATCATTAAAATGCAAATCAATTTATAACATTTTTGACATGCGTTTTGCTGGATTTTTTTGTTGTTATTCTGTCTCTCACTGTTCAAATAAACCTACCATTAAAATTATAGATTGATCATTTCTTTGTCAGTGGGCAAACGTACAAAATCAGCAGGGGATCAAATACTTTTTTCCCTCACTGTAGTTGTATAAATAAGAACAGTCTTGCAGGATTCAATACATGGAATTGAAAGAGTTGTTGTCCTGTCCCTTTCTCTGCGATTGTCATTCTAATGGAATCCAGAAAGAACAAAACCCTATCCTCAAACATTTACACCAAAAGATGCAATGTTATGGGCAAAGACCCAAAACATCCACATCAAATGTAATATTTTTCTTGATCAAATAACCACTTTTTGTGCAGTATTAATTTACCATCCTTATAAACCACTTTATGTAAATGTACATTACTGTATTGTACATAGGTTGGTCATCTAGGTTTGTACCTGTAGACTTTCCATCACCATGAATAAAAACAATAGTGTAATTGAGTACATTGAGATATCAAGTGGTTTGTGATTATGTGAAGTGAAGAATTTGGCTCAGGTGGTAGAGCATGGCATTTGTAACGCTAGAGTTGTGGGTTTGAATCCCAAGTGGGACCAGTATGAAAATGTATGCACTCACTACTGTAAGTTGATCTGGCTAAGAGTTTCTACTAAAATGTAAAAGGAATGAATAGACCATTTCAGTTTCCACATAGAAATAAATTGCATTTGCCAAGTATTTCCAAAACTGGAAAACAAGCAAGAATTTTTATATTCCACAATATTATCAGATTAACTGTTTTGTACAGATAATTATCAGACTCAAGTTACTCAAATACATGTAGTTTTTTAAAAATCACAAAAATAGTACACTGGGCCTTTACTAGTCCTGCATTAGCGGAGCAATATAGGTCTGTAGCGCGGGCGGGGAAAAAAATCGCAGCACCCCCACCCCCAAAACTACTTTCCGCGGCTATGTATGAAGGTAGTTTTATGCCTACACAAAAAAAAGGTGTAAAATATGTGTACAAATATACATTTCCAGATTTCTTTAAATATTGCCTAGATTTAGGACAAACACTTCAAAACCTTGTTTCTTATGATTTAGTTTTTGACTGTCCTTTTTGCCATTTATGAATGTGTTATTCAATGCGTTTCTATGAATTTCAGTAGTAAATATTTTAGCAAGTAAAGAAATCATAATAATTGATACGTAAAGGGGTCCTACAATTCAAAATCAAACAGCTAAATGAGCCACAGTATGACCATCTTGAAACAATTCCATATGTCAGCTTAGCCCCTCCCCCCTCCTGTCTTAGATGTCAGCTTAGCAACCCCCTTCCTGTCTTAGATGTCAGCTTAGCAACCCCCCTCCTGTCTTAGATGTCAGCTTAGCAACCCCCCTCCTGTCTTATATGTCAGCTTAGCAACCCCCCTCCTGTCTTAGATGTCAGCTTAGCAACCCCCCTCCTGTCTTATATGTCAGCTTAGCAACCCCCCTCCTGTCTTAGATGTCAGCTTAGCAACCCCCCTCCTGTCTTAGATTCTAAAGAATGAATGGTTTTTTTTGTTTCGCCAAGTCATTGCTGAGTGAAAGACTAGTATTTTTGAACCTGCTCACTTTCTTGCAGACGTGTTCAGACGAGTTGAAATGTGTAGAGATACGGTGCCCTCTGCTGGGTTTGGACAGTACTGCAGTGGTGTTTCTTCGAGCTCGCCTTTGGAACAGTACTTTCCTTGAGGTGCCTATTTCCCTTGTGTTTGCTACTACAGGTTCCTCACGTACATAACACCTCATTCTGTTGCATAGACATTGTGCCATTCAGTTTCAGTGCAGTTTCTTTGTTCTCTGCGTATCCCATCATAGGACTACAGCGCATTAAACTACCTGGACATTGTGCTGGATGCCACTCTCAGCTTGACAGACTCTGCAGAGAATATTGGGCTAAGGCAGACTAAGAAATCTGGAACCCAGGTACAATACATGCTTATGATTGTTTATTTAGAAATGTAATTATGGCCTGTGTGTTCAATTTAAGAAGTTTGTATTTACAATTTTTTTCCCGCACTGAAGGATATCTGATCTATCTTCAGAGGACAACTACATTATTGTTCTTTAGAGTTTAAATAGTTTTCAACTATTATTATTTACTTATTTGTTGTTTTGTAGCCTACTTTATCATACACATCTGTGTGGAATTGCCTTCCATACTTAGTGACTAATCCTGTAATCTAAATTGATGTTGTTTATTGGTTTGGTTGAAATTGGTCTACTAACCTACAATCACAGATCAATGCGGTGTGGCTGATGTAATTGCCACTGCCCATTGAACAACACACACTCTCTCACACTGTGCAGCACACAAGCACTCTCACCAGTACTTCTGTGGCTCAATTCAAGAGTGTCGTGTTTACCGACTCAGCTACATACTATAAAGTACCTTCAGTTTGATGTCTTGATGGTGTGTTTGCTGTCTCAGCTACATACTGTAAAGTACCTTCAGTTTGATGGCTTGATGGTGTGTTTACCGACTCAGCTAGATACTGTAAAGTACCTTCAGTTTGATGTCTTGATGGTGTGTTTGCTGTCTCAGCTACATACTGTAAAGTACCTTCAGTTTGATGGCTTGATGGTGTGTTTACCGACTCAGCTAGATACTGTAAAGTACCTTCAGTTTGATGTCTTGATGGTGTGTTTGCTGTCTCAGCTACATACTGTAAAGTACCTTCAGTTTGATGGCTTGATGGTGTGTTTACCGACTCAGCTAGATACTGTAAAGTACATTCAGTTTGATGGCTTGATGGTGTGTTTACAGGTGAGGCTGACAGTGTTCCCTGAGAGGAAGGCTGCCATCTGGGCTAAGGTTGCCTGGTGGGTGATTTTCCTCTCAGTAATGGTAGGACTGCTACTGCTGGCTCTGCTCGGCTTTCTGCTGTGGAAGGTAACACGATGTGGAATACATACTGTGGAAGCCAGAGGTTGGTGGGAGGAGCTATAGGAGGACGGCTCCTTGTAATTAATAAATAATACATGGAACGCAAAAGCATCAAACATGTTCCATTTATTCCATTCCATTATTCCATTACAATGAGCCTGTCCTCCTATAGCTCCTCTCACCAGCCTCTGGTGGAAGCCAAATATTGATATGAATATTGAAACGTCTGGTAATCTTTATTTTGTGTGTGTGTGTTTACACCGGCTACAAATAAAGTTGTCTATTTGATCCTATTGTAGTGCAAGTACCCTGTGGCTAAGAAGTACCACATCGTTCATAAGAACACAGAGGAACGTCACCCAATTAGAGGAGACTCATCTTTGGGTCCAACTGCATAGGCACAGATAATTGTATATACTTCAATGATGACCTTAATTGAACAAAATAGTGAAAAAGCTAATTTTAAGATTGTGTATGTACACAAATGTTTACAAGCTTAGCACCACTTGTGAAACGTCTTAAATGTACATAAAATGTCATGGTTTTCAGTTGTTTTTTCCATTTTTTACGTGTTCATTTTTATGGTTGTATTGTATTGTGTCTATGACTGTCATGTGGATATTAATACAAATGTGAGCGTGAACATTAGCACCACTGGTAGCAATAATAAAGTCACCAGAAGAGACTTGAATTCTGAAAACAGTAAAAATGTATTGACAGGCACAACATTTTTTGGACAGTTTAATGAAAGGGAGTAATCTATTTCCCAAAATTGTTACATCTTAAAGTTGTACTATCAACTATCCTTTTACAGTAATGGAATGTGGTATCTTATATGGGAGTGTTGATATGAGGTCCTAGTGGTTCCACTAACAGACTAGAAACCAAATGTTTCTTGAATAAAAACAATAGCCATCCAGTGACCTCTCATTAATTTCAATTATGCACTTCGATAGTTAATAGCATCTATCATCGTTGAATTTATTCATTAAATAAACAGACAAAATCCATATTTTGACCTGAATACATCACCACTCCCACACAGACTTACTATCTAATGTACAAGGTTAAGAAGAACCTTATGAAACATACAATCCCCTCAAACAAGGGATGCTGCAATTGGTCATTCAACAAAAAAAAGTGTGCTTGAACGTTCTCAATACATTCTTATTGTATTAACCATCTTTTTCTGCTTACACTTCTCTCTCTTCTCGTTTTCTGTACACTTTCATGACCTTTCCCTTTTCTTCAACCGCTAGTCTCTTTAATCTAGTCGATCTGTCTCCACTTTGTAGAGCTTGTTCTTTTATTAAGTTATGATTTAATACTTGCTGTAAGTGTTTGCTCTATGCTTGGTGGAGACTTGAATGTCCTTGGCTACTTTTTCTCACCTTTAACAAGTCTTGTGTCATCATCATATCAGTTTTATTGAAGTTCCCAGTCATAAACATTCACTTTCTCTCAACCCTCGCTGTTGTGTGTTAGTAAATGATATTAGACATTCAGAAAATAATTGTCTAAGAGGTACATTTAATGTGGCTTTACAGTAGGGTTAAGACGCTCACCACACCTCCATTTTCACTCTTATCAATCACTCTTTCACATTTCTGTAACACTCACCCTCCTCTATTCAGAGCTCATTCAACCAATCTGCCATTGGGATTTTGTTGCTTTTCAGAAAAGTAAATAAAAAGTTTAAAGAGTGTCAACACCCCATTCCTTTTTTGTTTACTAAGCCTTACTCAAAGGATACAAAACCACACACACACGCTGCTCCCAACCTATCATGAGTCCCAGGAACAATCTCTCCACGGGAGATCTCAGGGGAAACTTTGTATGAAGGCTGGTCCAGTGGTCCTCAAATATCCCTGGTTAATATCCGCAAATTCAAACCAAGACGCATTAAATGCATGTCCAACACAGCAGTGTGGTGGGATGGGGAGAAATTATCCAATAAGAATGCTATTCTACTTTTTCAATTATTTCACTGATGTGTCATTGTAAGCTTTCTGACAGACAGCGCAACACAATCCTCTCCTTAATGCTCCCATTAAAAAACATTAACTTGCGTTCAGTGTTTTTTACACACCAGTTTATCTGGTTTGAAGGAGCCATAAGCTGATGATAAGCAAATGATTCAAGCGCCATGCTCTACCAAGTGAGCAACACTGGATTACCCATTTCCCCTGGTCCACACCCACCTCCTCCTGGACCACACCCACCTCCCCCTGGACCACACCCACCTTCCCCTGGTTCACACCCACCTCCCCCTGGACCACGCCCACCTCCCCCTGGTCCACCAACCTCCCCCTGGACCACACCCACCTCTAAACTCAACAAAAAGAAGAAGAAATTGTATTATGAAGCCAAGTAAATTACATAAACGTTTTTTGGAGTACTTTAAATGAAATTATGGGCAGAAAGACTAATTCAAATCCATCTTTCATCGAATCAGATGGAGCGGGACTCTAACCCGGACGCTTATAAGAAATCCCACTATGCCCTCCGTTGAACCATCAAACAGGCAAAGAGTCAATACAGTCATTAGATCATTTGTTTTGGTTCTGTCCATTTGTAGCTTATTTTTGGACACAGGTCCAGGAATGGCTAAAGGATTGCAATATTTACCTGGAACTAACCTTGCAGATAGCATTACTGGGTGATCTGAAAAGTCATAGTCAATCAATCAATAATATAATAATACTTTTAGCAAAAATGTTTATTTTTAATTCACAATCTGTAGAAGCAATGAGAATAGAAAGGTTCAGAACTTTTGTAAAACATCACAGTACGGTTGAAATATATATGGCAAATAGAAATCCTATATGGATGGTGTTAAGAGATAGATGGGAGGTATTGAATAGAGTTGAAGGATGGGACTAATAACAAATAACAACAAATAATAACAAAGATAGCTAATAATGTAAGCATACTGTGTCCATAATAAGTATATAGGTTGTATGTTGGGAGCTTTTGGGAAAGAGCACAGTTAGAAAGATATGGCATATAGAAGCAAACCGGATGGACATCATGAAAATGATCGGAGAGGTTGAGAGTAGAAGAAGTATATATATACAGTGGGGAGAACAAGTATTTGATACACTGCCGATTTTGCAGGTTTTCCTACTTACAAAGCATGTAGAGGTCTGTAATTTTTATCATAGGTACACTTCAACTGTGAGAGACGAAATCTAAAACAAAAATCCAGAAAATCACATTGTATGATTTTTTATTAATTAATATGCATTTTATTGCATGACATAAGTATTTGATCACCTACCAACCAGTAGGAATTCCGGCTCTCACAGACCTGTCAGTTTTTCTTTAAGAAGCCCTCCTGTTCTCCACTCATTACCTGTATTAACTGCACCTGTTTGAACTTGTTACCTGTATAAAAGACACCTGTCCACACACTCAATCAAACAGACTCCAACCTCTCCACAATGGCCAAGACCAGAGAGCTGTGTAAGGACATCAGGGGATAAAATTGTAGACCTGCACAAGGCTGGGATGGGCTACAGGACAATAGGCAAGCAGCTTGGTGAAAAGGCAACAACTGTTGGCACAATTATTAGAAAATGGAAGAAGTTCAAGATGACGGTCAATCACCCTCGGTCTGGGGCTCCATGCAAGATCTCACCTCGTGGGGCATCAATGATCATGAGGAAGGTGAGGGATCAGCCCAGAACTACACGGCAGGACCTGGTCAATGACATGAAGAGAGCTGGGACCACAGTCTCAAAGAAAACCATTAGTAACACACTACGCCGTCATGGATTAAAATCCTGCAGCGTATGCAAGGTCCCCCTGCTCAAGCCAGCGCATGTCCAGGCCCGTCTGAAGTTTGCCAATGACCATCTGGATTATCCAGAGGAGGAATGGGAGAAGGTCATGTGGTCTGATGAGACAAAAATAGAGCTTTTTGGTCTAAACTCCACTCGCCGTGTTTGGAGGAAGAAGAAGGATGAGTACAACCCCAAGAACACCATCCCAACCGTGAAGCATTGAGGTGGAAACATCATTCTTTGGGGATGCTTTTCTGCAAAGAGGACAGGACGACTGCACCGTATTGAGGGAAGGATGGATGGGGCCATGTATCGCGAGATCTTGGCCAACAACCTCCTTCCCTCAGTAAGAGCATTGAAGATGGGTCGGGCCTGGGTCTTCCGGCATGACAACGACCCGAAACACACAGCCAGGGCAACTAAGGAGTGGCTCCGTAAGAAGCATCTCAAGGTCCTGGAGTGGCCTAGCCAGTCTCCAGACCTGAACCCAATAGAAAATCTTTGGAGGGAGCTGAAAGTCCGTATTGCCCAGCGACAGCCCCGAAACCTGAAGGATCTGGAGAAGGTCTGTATGGAGGAGTGGGCCAAAATCCCTTCTGCAGTGTGTGCAAACATGGTCAAGACCTACAGGAAACGTATGATCTCTGTAATTGCAAACAAAGGTTTCTGTACCAAATATTAAGTTCTGCTTTTCTGATGTATCAAATACTTATGTCATGCAATAAAATTCAAATTAATTACTTAAAAATCATACAATGTGATTTTATGGATTTTTGTTTTAGATTCCGTCTCTCACAGTTGAAGTGTACCTATGATAAAAATTACAGACCTCTACATGCTTTGTAAGTAGGAAAACCTGCAAAATCGGCAGTGTATCAAATACTTGTTCTCCCCACTGTATATATAATAGAATTATTGTAAAATTAACTCTGTCCATAAGGTGTAGACAGTAAGTATAGACCGGAAGTAGAGGCCTGGGCATTGTTGTTCACTAATTTACTCCAAGTAGGGAAAGGATGGTGGGGTTGAAAAGTAATAAAGGGGAGTATATATATAAAAATAAAAAAAACATGGGGGATTGGAAGTGATGCAGACAATTACATTGATAGAAGATACAATCTATCTGCAATATTAAGCTGATCCATTCGCCCCCCCCAAAAAAAACAAACAAAAAAAAAAAAAACAGAGTCAATACAAGACTAAGATTGAATCGTACTACACCGGCTCTGACGCTCGTTGGATGTGGCAGGGCTTGAAAACTACAAAGGGAAGCACAGCCGTGAGCTGCCCAGTGGCACAAGCCTACCAGATGAGCTAAATCACTTCTATGCTCGCTTCGAGGCAAGCAACACTGAAGCATGCATCAGAGCATCAGCTGTTCCGGATGACTATGTTATCACGCTCGCCATAGCCGATGTGAGTAAGACTTTTAAGCAGGTCAACATTCACAATGCCGCAGGGCCAGACGGATTACCAGGACGTGTACTCCAAGCATACGCTGACCAACCGGCAAGTGTCTTCACTGACATTTTCAACAGTCTGTAATACCAACACGTTTCAAGCAGACCACCATAGTCCATGTGCCAAAGAACACTAAGTTAACCTCCCTAAAT